AACGTAGTCTTCTACTCGTCGCCTCGCTTAATATAGATACGGTAATATGCATCCTAAAGGTCTAAGGACGTATACTATTCGGCGTCCTTAAGCCTATTAAGCGTTTCGCTAATAAGAGGCAGGGGGTAACGATTTTTGATAGTAATCTCGTTTAGCCCCCTATAATCGACGTAGAGTCTTAGACTGCTATCCTTCTTTAGTACGAATAGGATCGGCGTACCTGCCTCGCTTATGCTAAGCTAGATCTAATCGTTGTTTAAGGCTAAGCTTAGGTAATTACGAAGGTCGCTAAGCTCTCTTCCTAAAGAATAGTAGAGAGGTTTGTATAGCGGCTTCGTTCCGGGGATTAGGTTAATCGTATACTCTACGTCTTCGGGGAGCTTGCGTCTCGCTTTAGGCGTTATTATAAAGACGTCTTCGAAGTCTTTAAATTCTTCTAGTAAGGAGGAACCTTTAGCGATGTCGCGGAGCTAGCGAACGCTAATCGTATATACGTATAGGGCGTTACGCATATCCTTCTAGAATTCCTATAGTTCCCGTACGTATATCGAACGCGCTACGGCTTCGTTCCTATAGGTCTAGGCATCTATCGAGCTATCGACGATTACCTTTTAATCGCGCCTCTAAGGCCTACTAAGAATAATATTAGGGAGGGGCATTTCGAAAGTATAGAACACTCCGGTAGTAATGCGTTCTTAGCCTATAGAGTCGGCGATCCGTAAGCGTAGATAATACGCTCCGTAGTAGTATCCTCGGTCGCTTTAGAAACTATCGGCACTAGGTAGCACGGCGTTAATAATCCGCTAAGGCTAGTATCGTAGAACGAATTCTTAAGATACTACATTAATATTAGTAGCATTATCTAATAAGCATTCGACGGACACTTCCCCTTCTTACGTAACAATTGCTCCGCGTACGCGTCCCGTAGGTACTACTACTACTAAGCTACTTAGTTAAGATTCCGCACCTATCCCTAGCTCTTAGGAGGTGCCTTGTCTTTTCCCTTAGCCTTCGAGTCGTTCTTCTTTTCTTTAGCGTTAGCGGCTACCTTGTATACTATAGGGTTATCGTCTTTCTAGAGATAGCGGTTCGGGTACGCGTTCTTATAATAGCCTTTCTAGCGATAGCTATAACATTCGACCTTGCTAATGTTATATCCGCCTTACGAGTTATCGCCCTTCGTATACTTTCCGCCTACGCTACGGTCGCGATTTAACTACTACTTGCGGGCCTAACTATTAGATCGACGCTTCTTACCTTTACTGCCTCCGGTTTCATCGTAGTTACGATCCTTGCGTTTGCTAGACGGCTTATTAGGGGTCTCGATGCGCGTCGCAAGCTCTACGAGTTCGTAACGCGTCGTTAGCACCGTATAGTATTTAATAATCGCGCTACGAATCGCCGGCTAGAGTTTAACGAGGAGATAGCGGATCCTATACTCCTCGCTATAGTCGCTAAGTTAATCTTCGAGCACTGCGAGCTTAAGGGCAAAGCTTTAGACTAACTGTCCCTTACGCTAACGGGCCGCCTTATACTCGAGGGTTACGTCTAGTATACGGTTTATAGGGTCCTCGACGCAGTCCCGATAGAAGGTTTTAAAGTCCTAGTAGGTGTAATTTTATAGGTCCTTAAGGCTGTTTTTATTATACTATCGCTCCTACGCATCGCCTATAAGGTATATAATACTATAAAGTACCTTGCTTTCGTCTATATAATAGGTAGCTCCGGATAGTATAAAGGTAATAGAGAGTTCTCTAAGGAATCGCCTCGACTCCTTAATCGTATCGCCTTTAAAGGGCTTAGGTTCCTTTAAGCGAGGCTTAATAGCCGCAAGACTAGCGACTATATAGCTTATACTAGGTATAGTAGCTACGCTTAGCGCACTTCCGGAAAGAGGTAGTCGATACGAGACAGATTTAGCTCTCTAAGATTTAGGCCTCTAAATCGACTTATTAGCTAATTCTTCCTCGTTCTCGTCCTCGTCTAGAGATAGGGTCCTTATAGGACCCTCGCCGGCAGTGCCGCTACTCGGAGCTAGCGCATCGCCTACGTCTCTAAGGGTACGAAGACGCGCATTCTCTCGCTTAGCTTCTTAAGCCTATACTTCTAGCCTAAGCACTTCTTGCTTAGCTAGAAATCGTTCGAGCCGTAGGCGGGTCGCTTCCCGGCGCGCCTAATATTCGGCCTCGTATTATTGTATCGCCGCGTCGTTTTCTAATGCTATAGGCGCTCCTAATGCATTATTCTACGCGTTTCCCGCGCCCGGCGCGTTCGGATCGCTTGCGTTTATCTTTCGGGGTTCTATAGGCCGCTACGAAGGGTAGACGGTTTAGAACTATAAGGAAATAGGTATATAGCAACGTATAGAACACCCTCTACTAATCGCCGTAGTAGAAAGTAGAACTAAACCGTGCCTTTCTTAGAACAGGGCAGAGTGTTTACTATTAACTAGGCTACGTACGGATAGTATATATGCCGAGCCGGTAACCGAGTATGTCCGTACGAGCGACCGAGCTTTTCCGCGTATACGCTAAGCAGGCTTTGCGCTAGCGAGACAGCACCGCAGTATACGTAATAATATCACATAATTGTTATATAGGCTTGCTAAGGCATAATAGGAGACTTTACTTGCTTAGGTTCTTACAGTTTAACTAGCTAAAGAAGTTCTTTAAGGCGAGCGACGTCGACAAGGATAGAAACCTACCTATTAAGGCATAGTATAAGAAGCTAGAGCCTATTAGCACAATAATTAAGGAGTCCTTTAAGAAGTACTACGTACTACGCGGTTAGATGTCGATTAACGAGATTATCGTCCGCTTTACTAGTAGAAGCCGCTATATTAAGGTAATTAGAAACAAGCCTTATCCGGAGGGCTATAAGCTTCTCGCTCTATATAATACCGGCTACGTATATAATTACACGTTTAACTTACTCGTTGCTAGCTTCGAGAACGACCGTCCGTTAACTGCTAAAGAGATAGCTAGAGTACTAAGTAGTTATAGCAATAAGGAAGAAGTTATAGTCGCGAAGGGCTATATTAAACGGCTGTCCGCAACGGCTCGAGCTACACTCCGCCTAGCGCTTAGTTTACTAGGCGGAGGGCAGCACTGCATCTATATAGACAATAGATTTACTAACGTACTATTATTATCGTATATGCGCTTCGCTAGCATTACCGGTATAGGTACCTATAAGTCTAGTAGTACAGATTATCTAGAGGTATTAAGGGCGGCTATAAAATAAGGCCGTAAAAAGACGAGACTCCTACCCGGAACGCTAGCAGGCAAGGTTACTGCCTTAGGCAACGGCGCTGTTCTATCTCTTCTATAGTAAGATAGCAACCTCGTTTGTCTTAATATAATAGTATATACTAGATAAGAGATAGACGAGATAAAGCGGCGCGCGCCTATCGTACGTGCTAGTACAAACGCTTAGAAGAAGGACTTTATAGCGGCAATCTATAGACTAGTACCTAAATCCTCTAACGGGCGGAAACTTATTAAGCAACTACGAGTCGCTATTAATTACAACCTCTATATAGGTAGCGTAGACATATACGACTAGTTACGCTCCTATTATCCGACTTAGCTTATTATCTATCGAAATTGGATGCTACTCTTCTACTAGTTACTCGACGCTATATATATTAACGCCTACCTTCTTACTAAGGCTCGTTACGGCGATTTATACGCCTAGATAACTAAATCCTCTTACTATAACACTTACCGCCTATTTCGGTACAAACTAGCGTAGAATTTAATACTTTCCGGCGTAAGAGACCTATATAGACCGCATAAGACAAGCATAAGAATAATAGAAGAGATAGTAGCGCAAATTGACCCTCTAAGGCGCCGGAAACTAGCCAATTCTAGTACGCCGAAGCTAAGAGGTCCTTATATTAAGAAGGACCGCACATTGCTTCTAGTATAGCTCTGTTTCGACAGTAAGTATACACCTATATCTATAGGCCGTAGATAGTATTAATTCTATATATATAAGAAGCGCTGTTAGAGTTAGCAAGGTAAAGAGTATAGGACAAGATATTAGTATAAAGATTGCGGTTAGAACCTATATTCTTACTGCTATAATATCTTCTACTACGGCATACCTAGCTATCGATAATAGCTATTTCCAACTACTAGAAGAGGCACTAAACTATAGAAGGCTCCGGAAATATCGATAGATATAGATCTCGATACTAACGGAGAAACTAACGAAGAATACCTCGTATAACCTCTAGTTCTTGCTCTATACGAGTAGCGTACGCCTTAACCTCTCGTATCTAGTTTAATACCTTCTTAACCTGCTTCTAAAGGTCTAGATTATCGTCGTTATTAACCGTTTAAACACCCTTATAAGCGACCTACGGAGCTCTCGGCGGTAGTAGATTAGCGTATCTCTTAACCCTTATTTTAACCCTAGGTACGTCTAGGTCGTCCGAGTCCTACTCGGACACCTCCTACGTTCGAGGCGCCTCTTCTTCTTACTTTATTACTAGTAATCTTAGTATAGAAGGCGGGCTAGTAGAGATCGTAGAAACCTCTAAGGGGTACGGCGAGGAGATAGGCTCGTTGTCCGTATACTAACTCTATAGCTTAGTTAGTTATAGAGCTTAAATTAGCCTTCTATACGGTCTTATTTACTTACTTCGGCGACCTCTATATAGTCTATATTGTATTTACCTATAGTCTACTATATACTAGTCTAATCTAAGGTCTTAGAAGCCCTTGTTACATACTTCTCGAATAGGCCTAGTTGCCGCCTCGGAAACCTTTACCTACAGTGTCCGGAAGGCTAATATTAACTTCATGGCTTACAGGGGTTGAAAAGAGACTTTTGCAACACAATGGGATACCTCCAAACACACCAACGGCAATTGCGGCTATTCTAACCCGCATCATCTTCCCTTCCATTCTGCATCTCATCACGTCCGTGACGTAAGTCATCCAAGCCATCGCAGACATCTTGAAGTCCATCCACCTCTCTCCCGAGCCCTTGCGCTAACTCCACAGAATATTGAACCGTCGCCATCCCGTCACCGGTCTTGCGGGAGGTTCGGGATTGTGCTCGGCGATGTCGATGTATTTCTGAATCGGAATCTGCTCCAGCGCAATGACCTTCGCCTTCGTAAAGAACTTGTATCCAAAGTACAGGCACGCAAAGATCGGAATGTTGATGTAAGACGAGACAAACGTCTCGGTGTCCCAATGGCCTTTCATGAACGTCGAATATCCGCCCGTCAGCAACAGGATCTGGAAAGCGATGACCCCAGTCCATGCGAGATACGGCTGCCCAAACCCTTTCCAAGGCAGTCGATCACGACTGATGCCTTGCTTCTGCATCCCGTAATAGAACCTCAAATACACCGCGCAGATCGTAGTCCAGTTGACTAATGTCGACACAGACACCAAGTCTTGCAGCCAGCTAAAGACAGTCGAAGCATTGTTCGAGAGCGTCATGTATCCTAAACACGCAAAGATGCTGAGGAAGCCGACTGCGACGTACGGTATCCCGAAGCGACTCGTGCGCTTGAACACTTTCGGTGCGCGTCCATCGCGAGCCATGCCAAAAAGGATTCGTGAGCATCCCAGGAGTCCAGAATTGCCCGATGACCAAGCACTGGTCAGAACTGCGGCATTGATGATAGACGGCACCACTTTGATGCCAGCGCGAGACGCTGCAATCACGAATGGGGATTGCGCGGCATTTCCAGTCGATGCCAGGAGATTCTTGTCGTTGGAAGGTACGATCAGTCCTACCATGAAGATCGAAAGGACGTAGAAGATGCCAACGCGCCAAAAGATGCGCTTTGCCTGCGAACTTGTTGTCAGTGCCGGTGCGAGATGTTGAGTCGGTTGGCTGATGAAGAAGAAATCGTACCGCAATGGGGATGTTTCTCCTGGGATTCCGAGTCTCAGCTGCGGCAAGGGAGACACTCTCAACGCCAGCATAAGCGTAGACAGCATTGTTGAAGACCGTCCAAAACCCAAGGAATTTGCCGGTGGATCCACTGACTCCAAGATACTGCACGAACGGTCCTGGGTTGCGCCAATACTGTTTGTTGAGTGAGATCTCATCACTTCATCTCGAGCAAGCATCGACTTACCTGGAAGCCATAGGCATGGCGATCAGGCCCTCCACCACATGCGATCACTAGCGCCATCATGTTGACGCCGAAAATGAGCATAATCTTCAGCATTGCAAAAGTAAATTCCAGCTCGCCGTATATTCTGACAAGGACAATATTGGCCAGGAGGAGTGCAGCTCCGAACACAGTCTTTCGAGAGTGGCTGTGTCAGCTCAACGGGAATGAATGGTGAAGAGAGAATTTTCAGACGTCGAGGACTTACGATCCATACAGCATTGTTTACCGAGACCCAAAAGTCCATCAGCACCGCTGCCGCCACAATCTCTGCTGGGATGGAGACTATCGTTGAGTAGACGGTGTTCCAGCCATTAGCAAATGCTTTTTGGGAGCATTAGTAGAAGACAGATGAGAATGGAGAGATTAGTGGCATTGCATACCTAGCGCAGGATCGACAAAGTACTCGGCGTGTCTGATGATGCCTCCACTGAGCGGTACCAGCGCGCTCATTTCAGCGACAGAGAAAACTGGTCCTGTCACCAGAATGCCAACGAAGAGGTAGCCGAGAAAGGCGCCCAGTGGTCCTGCGTTTGCAATGGCTTTGCCACTTCCGAGAAACAGACCTGTGCCAATTGCGCCAGCCAGAGCGATCATCTGCACATACGATCAGTTTGCAGCGGTGGTGCCGTAAGGTAATCATGAATACCTGTATGTGCCTTTGATGGAGCCCGCGACGAAGGTCTGCTTTCTCGGCGAAATCAATGGGCTGACCATCATGGTACACAGGTGCTGCTTGTACGTCAGGATGCTCTTCGAAGTCTGACGACTTGTCATTTGCCTTGATATCGTCATTGAAGTAGTCAGGCATGATCGAAGGTGATTTCAAAATTTTATCACACAGCGCTTGGGATCAAGCTTGGTCGAAGATGCGAGATATATGTGTGTAGCACATGCGGCCAAGAATCGGCCAGTCTTGCAATCAATGAATCAAAGACAGACCAGTCTGATGGCGGAGCGTATCAGCTCCACGTATGAGCTGGTCTGCTTCGAGGAGGTGCGTTCAACTACCGCGAATACAGGCGATCTCATCATTGCTCATGGCAAAGCTTTCTGGGTTGCCATACCAGGTAGTTCTAAGGTTGCCGCTCGGTCCGCGCACGAGATCCACCAGGATGTGGATAGATGCATCTATCCTCCCAAGCTTGCGTGGTCCACGGAGCTCCTCTGGCGTAGTTCTGTCATACTGCGTCGAATATGTCAATAACGATCATAGGCAGTGAGGTTCACTGAGCATGCTGTGTTTTCTGGCCAAGTCGTCCTCGATGTTCTCATGAAAATGCGCTATCGTGGCGGGTGAATAATTATGGAAGCTGCATGGGAGATGCTAGGGAACACATGTTCTCAACGAATCTCAAGGTCAGGCCAGGCCAGGCCGTGGACATAGTTCTAGAAGCGTGGTGGGCGAGGCAAGGGTGTTCGAATACTACCTTCAACATGATCGGGGCCTCATGGGGTCAAAAGTCGATTCTTGAAGGCGTGCTTGACCCTAGTACTACGCTCATCAGTGTGCTGTTGGTCGCGATACCAGCGCTGGAGGGCCCGGTTCTGTTCATCGGTGGTCGCTTGGAGGGCGCTTCTCTGCCACCGAGCACGGAGAGCATCACAATACCTTCTCATGATGGGGCGCGGAGAGCACGAGCACTACCTGTATGATAGCTGCGGATGGGAATAACAATGTTGGAAATTCGTGATGAAAGGGACGAGAATCAGATACAGTACGATATTAATACAGTAGGTTTCGGGTTAGGTTCGGGTTATTCTATTCTAGGTTCGGGTTAGGCAGGTTGTTCACCCTTCCCTTCCCTTCCTTTCCCTTGCCTTGCCTTGCGAATTGAGAATGCTGACAAGCCGATTGTAACAATTGTTCTGAGTTACATGTATCAGAGCACACATGAAGCTCGACGAATCTGCCTCCATCTCGGCCGAGCTATTCTACTGACTTGGAAGTAATGACGATGCCTGTGACGATGCCTGTGTGCGCGTCGTCGTCGTCGTCGTCGTCGTAGCCGGCCAGGTGGTCGCATGCGTCGTCAGCATGCCCATCCCATCCCATCCCATCCCATGTCCAGGCCCAGTTCGACCATCGACATGAGCGCCATCTCGTGCAACGACGACAGCAACGACGACAGCAACGAATCGAAGCCGATCGTGCTTTGCTTTGCCTTGCCTTGCTTCTCTTCTCTGCCCATCGTCTTCCTCTTCACGCATGCAGTCTTCTCGCGACCTTAGTCACTAACATACAATGCCACGCTTGAGTAGCCTTTGCGCTCTCAGCTCCGCCCTATTGGCAGCAAGTGCGCAATGTGCCCCAGAAGTTCGCAGACTAGAAAATGCGAACTATGTCTTCAACGCCATCCACAGCTCCATGCGCCAATGGGGCTCCTCGTTGAGTCCAGGCCACAACGGCATGTCCTTCTTTATCGCCACACTTCCCAAAGGACAGCAGCTCTATCACGGGACCGGCCGCGTCGAGCGCATCAACGACACGGAATGGTTGGCCTTCGAGCCCGAGCATGCTCTCCACTTTGCTCGCTCACGTCGAGCACCGCCGCCTGGGAGAGGCGGACCGCCAGGACACGAAGGCGAACCTTGGCATCCTCCGCAGGAAATGGACGACGAATACCCACATTGGCATTCCGCACCTCCAAAGCACGATCTGAAGGCCCGACATATACCTGGCGATCGTCCCCTTACCCATACGGCCGCTCAAAGGGCGAGAGCCGATTCAAAAGCCCACCGAGAACCATTGCTCGATTCCGAGCTTCCACCAGACGGCGACCTATCTGGGTACCTGCACACATATCGTGCAAAGCATGATATTCGTCTTTTGTATTTAGATGGACAATCGGCTGCCAAGTCGGATCTGGGTACCCTCGACTCACAAGACGTAGTGCTCCTGCACGGAAGCCCACCTCCTCGGGAAGACAGACCAAAGCACGCACGAGCCAAGATCTTTGGACCACCAAAAGGCGACGAAAAGCGCGGCCCTATGAACGAGGCCTACCGCGCCGCCAAGCTGTGCGAAATGGCTCAAAAGCAATGGCAAGGGAAGGTCGACGGATTTCTTCGAATGGAACTAGGCTTCGAGATCATCCTCTGCTCCTTTAAAGATCATCTAGAAGTCGAACGTATCACTAGAACACAAAATGGTGGCGGCCGCGGCGGCTTCGGTCCAGGTTGTGGCCATGACATTTCCGCCTTGAACTACTACCAAGCTGTGGCCTCACGTTTTGACGGCATAGGTGGCGATCGCGTGCGCGTGGACTACGAAAAGTTCGTGACACTCTTCACCTACCCTCAAGCACACTACTTCAATGACCGCGGCCTGCCTCGCGCCGTCAACGAGTCAAAGGCCATTGTTCCGGTCCTGGATGCCGTCACCGACATGATCCTCGACGAGAACGAAGACCCCACAACCAACTGGCAAGCAGTGACAGATCTGGTGGTGTCCCGCTACTCCGACCGAATCGAGCGTATAACATCCGGATCCATTCCCTCCTCCATCTCAGACCTCCGAAAACTATTAGAAGCCGCCTTGCGACCATTCATCGACTACAGTGCACGCAACGCCACCCTCGAAACTTTCCGTTGCGCAACCCAACCAACACCTTCCTCAGCTCCAGCCTCCTCAAACCACAGCCTCTCACGCAATCATGTCGGTCACATCAACCCTCTGCTCTCGATTCCTCTTGGCGAGCGAACAGGACAATCTCGAACATGCGATTTCCATGATTCAGGAGCTCAAAGATTGGCTCGGCTGGTCGACCTGGAAAAGGTGTAGAGGATGCGAGGTAGATGAAGTGTGCTTTGTGCCGATTTGGCCCATGGGTGGTAAAGAGGATATGGAGAATCCGAGATGTATCTCCAACGCGAGCGAAGTCGGAAGCGGATATTGGGGAGGACATTTTGGAGGACCACCGCCTCCGCCATTTTGAAGGCAGACAATCCTACTTTTGACACCGACAGAGGCGTTTTGAACTGCTTGGAGTGCGCAGAAGGCACCGGTCGATTTGCATGGAGACTGTAGTTTTTCATACCCAATGCAATCAATTCTTCTATCGCGTTCATACATTAATTCATGCTCACGTACCATGACCCGCCAACACCAATGCTCAAGCCAGATCAATAATACAACCATCATTGCCGCCAAACCCCTTGCTCAGGCACTTTGACCTCAATAGTACACACCTTGATCGTACCAATCCAGAAGCGAATCCAATCGTCTACACCAATCACTATCCCTGCCACCGCCACCTTTGGCTGGCGAAAGATCACTGTGCTATGGCGACTCATTCCTCAACCCAACTTTTCCACTCTTTTTCATTATACCCAACTCAATCAAGCGCTCCCAGATGCGATCTTTGACCATGGCGTCTTTCTTCTCGAAGCTTGTGCCATCCAAGAGACCTAAAGAAGGACAAGAGTGTGCAAGCATGAGGTGACAAACTCTGCGACGCAGCTTGGTGGACTCATCCAGACGGTCATGGTGGATTTTGTTTGTCTCTCGGGAAGATTGAGGCGGAAGGACGTACTTGGCAGCTTCAATTGATTCACAGGCTTCGTCTTCGTCTACTTCCTCCTGTTGGCGTGAGTCGCGACGCACGACGCTAGTGTGAACCGTAGTCGCAGGCGTGGCAGTGATCGGAGCATAGAAGCCTTGTGTCAGGATGTTGTCTCGAAGATCCAGCTCCCGAAGTGTGGAAATCTTGGACAGGGTGGCAACACTCTTCCGGAGACGTTCCAGACGGTTGCCACATACTGTCAGCTTTTCGAGCTTTTGGCTATTGAGAAGAGGTCGGATGTCCTTGAGCGAATTGAAGTTGAGGTTTAGCGTGACGAGGTTGGGTAATTTGAGACCAAAGTCATCAGGCAACTCCTGCAAGCCTGCTGAAGCAAGCTCGAGGTGCTGCATGCTGAGGAGCGAGTCAGGAAGATCTAGCGAAGGCACATTGTTGCCAGACAGCCTCATTGTTCGAGCATGCAGCGGGTGCTCCAGAATTTGTAGGCGCTGGCCTTTCTGACGCAGTGACTGGCAGCGCATGGACAAGACATCTAGTTGCTTACAAGCCTCAATGCCAGAGACAGTAGCGAGGCAGTTTCGATCTAGGTGTAAAGTTCGCAAAGCTGGCATACTGACCGTGTTCAGGCGTCGAAGCTCACAATCTTGCAAGCTAAGGTGCTTCAGATTCGGCAGCTCATGTCCAGTCTCAAATGGAACCGTGAAGTGATTGCCGTCCAGTCGCAAGGTGTGAAGCTTTTCCAGCGCATGCAAGCCACGAACACGGCAAATTTCATTACCGCAAAGATCCAATTCTTCCAGTCGTTGCCATTGGCTGTATTCGAGCTCAAGACTACGAAGCTTATTTCTTCTTGCTCTAAACTTCAGCAAGCCATCGAGACCAAGTACACCATCTAGGCTTTCGATATTGTTGTCGTCCGCACGAAGCTCTCGAAGGTGTATCAAACACTCTAGGCCAGTGACGTTATCCATCTGGTTTCCGGAGATGTCCAAGTATTGCAAATTCATCAAGTGCGTCCAAGGCGTAAGGCTGCTCAACAAACAGTTCTTGGCGATCAGATTTCTCAGGGTACCTGGAGCGCCCTCAAGGTAAGAGATATCGTTACCGGAGACGTCCATATCTTGCAAGCCGCCGCAAAAGTCGTCGAGCCCGTACACAGATCGCAATCCCTGATCATGCAAATCCAGTTGCTTGGTCGTCGCCCAGTGTGGCTCGTGTTGCTTCACATCGGTCAAGGTTTTGACGAGATCCTTGATGGTGAGAGCATATCGGTCATTGACCTCACCAGCAGCATGCTTCGCCAGCCGTTGTGCAAGTGCACGCTCCGTCGGACGTTCGTGGTCCTCTTCATGCACCGTAAAGTCAGGCAAGTCGGACAGGATGTGGTTTGAATCGAACTTGATTGGCGACGATGGAAGAAGTGCATTGGCCTGGTCGTACGGCTGACGTTTACTAAGAGGTCGAGAAACGCTGAGAGACACGCTCATGATGCGGTCGCCTGGCAGTGGCGCCACGAATGAAAGTTCACTCTGCTCGACTTCATCTTGCTGCGTAAAGCGGCTCGTCAAAGTCTTCCTGCGAAGGGACACCTTACGAGTCGGACGAGACGTGATATTGCGACATCCAGAATCGACAGTGGATTTGGCGGGACTTTGGCGTAGTTTGGGCGACTCGATGTGCTCGCGAAGCTCGTGCACATGCTCAGTGTCATCGGCGAGAGCAGCTGATTCCGTGCTGTGTCCATTGACCTCTTCAAGAGTCTCGTCGCCAACGTCCTCTTCATCGTCCACTAGCATAGACTCTCGCTCCTCCGTAATGGTTTCTTGAGGCGGAAAGAAGCTCTTCTGCGTATCCGCAGACTGAGGTCTTGCGAGCGTGCTTCCCTGGCTACGTTGTTGAAGTGCAGCGCGAGCAGCAGCGTATGCCAGAGGTTGATGTCGCGCTTTCCCTTGAGCTGCAAGCCTTTGCAAATCATCGTCACCCCAGGATGTGGCGCGCGTCTCGATGATCTGCTGCTGACTGGAACCGAAGGCTGTGTTTGTCCATCGTGAGGGATCGGAGCTGGAGTATGTATGGCGAGATTTGTGACTGTCGCTGGTGGTCGTGCGAGCAAGGACAGTCTCTTGAGATGTCGTCCGGGCCTCAATTTGCTCTTCTCGTGCGAAGTCATGAACTTCAAGCACAGACGGTGCCCCATCGCCAGGCAAGACGCTAATTCTCCTACCTTGGCTGCTTGTCTTGCGAATCTCTTCTTCCTTCCGCTCGTCGACTGGCAAGTCAGAGATCTCTCTGAATGGATCGTCGTCACTGGTGATGATGCTGGGCGGCTCAAGGAAGCTTCCATATGGTTTCCTCTTCTCCGGGCTCTTGGACTTCACCCACTGTTGTCTATTCTTGTCAAAGTACATGCTGCCGACCTGCTCACCAATAAGATGCGCCACAGCATCGGGTGCTAATGTACCAACATTCTCCGACTTGCGGGTGCTGGTGGTATGGAGGGTGCGGCCGGTAGAAGTCGCACTGGAGTGCTGTGTCGACTGTGTCTGGTTGGAGCGCTGCGAAATGGGCCGCGAGTCGTCGTCCTCTTGTTGGAACTCAGGCATGGGGCCTCTGATGCGTATATTGGAGTGCTCGTCAACTGCTATGATGCTGTGTTCAAAGTGGTCGGATGCAACCTCGTCCACCTCATCCACGGCTTCGTCCTCCACGTGAAGCGATGCGACAGACTGAGCTATGAACTCTGTGTCGTCTTTTTCCTGAAACTTACGCAAGTGGCTCACCACTCTCGCGTCCGTATGCTCCGAGTTGCGTGATCTCCAGCCGCTGGCAATTTCCCGAGAAGGCGGCCGGGAAATGCGCAATGCAGATGGGTCTGGGTTACTACCCTCAAACCCGCTGTTGCCCTCTTGGTCACTTTCGGCGACACTGCCGAGACCACTTTGACGTCCAGCCTTTTCTCGGATCAACCGCATCACCATGACGGCCTCGTTGAAGAAATCCTGAGTCGTCACCGACCGCTTGCGTTCAGTCATGTCGCCTGAAGCCTTCTGGACCCGTAAACTAAACTTGGCTACTTCGTTGGCGACAGTGCGTGCTTGTTGGTGCATAGATGGAGGACTGGCAGTTGCCATGGAGGATTCTATCTGCTCCATAACCGCCTCCAGTCTCTCGGGTTCCTCAGCGACGAATTGCTCAGCAGTCTCACGAATTTCGGCCTCAATCTGCTCCCGTCTTCGCTGGCTGGGGGTTGGATTTCGGGGTCGAAGAGCATCTTGCAGCTTTTCAATTCTATTCGAAGTGGATTTCCTGGCAGCCAGGGCATCTTGCAAATGATCGTGATAAGATCGATTCATCTCTTCGGTTCCAGCTTCCAACTCTGAAGCGTGCAGCGTCCTCCGTCGTTTCGGGGTCGGTGCTTTGTATGGCGAGTTGCGTGGTCTCTTTCCCGCTGCAACACTCATCACGGACGGCTGCTCAAAAGCCTTGCTCACATCTGTGGCGTCTTCCACGGTCGGTTGCAGATGCTCCTTCTTCTTGGAAGTGGCATTCGTCGTTGAGCCGGCGGAGGGCAGCGCACTTCTTCTGCTTTTGAACTTGAGTGTGTTCTCCTTGGCAATGGGTGATGTGTTCAAGTTGAAGATCACAGGCGATCGAGCACCTGGCGGAGGAATGTCTGAGCCAGGAGAGCGGTCGCTGTTCTGCCTGTCCGAGTCTGAGGCACTTGTTATGGTGATTTCAGCATGAAACTTGTGATGGCTCAGGCTCCCACTTCCAAACGAGGCGCCGGACACTTTTCGCTCGGCTGAGAGCTTATCGCGCCCTTGATTTGCCTCATGCAGTTCGCTCAATGAGGAGAGATCAGGATCTAATTGGCTCATTCGTCGCAGGAGTCGATTGCTGGTGAAAGTGTCATGTGGGCCAAATAACTTCAATGGGCTGCCTGACGATTTCGACTTTGGCTCGGAAGGCTCAAGCTGCTGAACAGGAGTACTAGGCGGGTTGGGTGACAGTCGAGCAACTCTATTTGGTCCAGAAGATGGGATGGGCGAAAGGTGACCACTGGCACGCCGCACGTGCGCAGGCTCAGCACTCGACTGCGATGCGCTCAACGGCCTCTCCTTCCATGAACCTTGTGCAGAGCAGCCTCCTCGCCGGAATTGCACATTTCCGCCCAGGTTCGCAACAGAAGGCGGCGTGCCCGTTGGCAGATTCTCGGACAGAGACAGGTCCGGAGCGGCATTGGATACAGGCAGCAAGTCGCCCTCCGGCGCATGGGTGAAAGCAGATTCGTCCTGAAGCTGACTAGCTGCGTCCGGACAAGGCGTGTCTTCTTGGCTAGTGTCTTGGCTCGACCTTCGCAGTTCCATGTGGTGGAACTTCTGAACGTAATGAGAGTCGAATGCCTTGTAGTCAGTCTTGCCATCCATTGTGGTGTGCTTAGAGATGAAGACTGGGCTGAGACTTTCGCATTCAGTTTGCCCGCTGACTGTTCTGTTACCGATCATATTATGCTCAGTAGGCTCCAGTCGTTCCGGGCTCACAACAGCGCTCTCATCTGGGCCGCTGTCCTGACTGACGGATGGATGTGAGTCGTCAAGGGCAAAAGGATTGCTGCGAAAGCTGTGTCGGTGGAGCTCGCTTTGATGGTGCTGCTGGCTCTCCATCTCGTGGGCCAACGCAGTCGGCCGTTCTTCGGATGCTTCCTGCTCTGCTTCTTCATCAGCACGTCGCTTCCACCGCGGTGGGCTAGAGGGTATGTCGGCGACAGAGGACTCGTTCAGCCAGTTCATGCCACTTCTGATCTTGGGCTTAGCGTCTGGCTCTGGCTTTTGTGCGAAGATGCTCTCCAGGGCATTGGCGGCGAACAGATCGGTCTGATGGCCATATGGAAGTGGACCCTTCAGTAGCCTTCGCTTCCACTCCAATGTCTCTTGCTGCTTGGTGGGCGATGCGCTTTTCGACCGCTGGGCCACAGCAGCAGCACAATGAAGCACCGAGTCTTCGCTTGTGCCGGAGAAGGATCGCGAAGGCGCCAGCTTGCTCGACTGTCGCTGTCGCTGCGGCCGGATGGAGTTGCTGCCACTGCTGGTGAGGGTGGCGAGTGGGTGGCGTCGCTTCTGTGTTGATGTGCGCGATGTCGTTTTCTGGGATAATCGGCGGTGGACTGATGCGGGAATCTCCCACGCTTCGTCGAGGCCTTGCAGCCACGGCGCGATGTTGCTCATTGTCGAATATGGATGCGTGGTGCGGGATGTGGGACGCGGATGGGGGAGAGGAGGTGATGTGGTGTCAATTCATGCTGGATCATCTGATGAGTGTGCCTTGCTCTTGCGCTTTCCCTCATCGACTCGAGATGTCGGCCATATGTCATGCGTGCGTCGCGTCGCGTGCGACGTCTCGCTCACTCTCGAAGCCGGCCGGATGTTTTGTGGTTGGTCGTGCCTTCCGACGCGGCTGTTGCCCGCGCGACTGCCGCCTCGAACTCCAGCGCACCTCCTCCGAACAAGGCCACGACACATCGACGATTGATTATCGCCATTGCCACTGCACTCGCCAATGATGCCGGACACTGGATGTGCTTGTCACGGTGACGATGATCCGCACTCACCGACCGCGCGGCTACGCGTGGAATTGTGCTTCGGAATTCCAGAATACTGAGCTGTTCCGGCAGATCAGCGTCGACGAGCACGAGCATGCGACTGGCAGCGGCAGCGGCAGCGATGAAGTGCTGTGTTCCGACGCGGAGGACGACTGGGCGCTGGCCGAGCGGGCAGCGAAGAGACGAAGGGTCGAGAGATTGGCGCACCACTTTCTCGACGGGCTCGGCTTGGAAGTGACATCGGCCAGACTGGATCCTCGCTCGTTCCGGCAGGCATGCACCTACTCGTTTGCCACGCCCAACGACGCTCACATCGCGCTTGCCGGAGCTGACAGTGACCCCGCGGGGCATTCCGATGAAGACTGGCCCGACCTATGGGAAGTGCTACGCGCAACGAACCGGCACGGCGAGCCCATCGCACCGCACGCCGGCATCGTGGACATGGCACACGACGCGACAGCAGCCGAGGCGCACGCGCACGCGCACGCGCAGTCCACCTGTCAGCGCCGGAGCAGCCGCCGCCGCCGCCTCGTCCGGATTGCACTCGATCCCAGCGAAGATGCGCTTCGGAGAGCAGCAGGACTCCGTGCGCGAAACTGGCCACCATCGCTGCCGGAAATTGCCGAGTCACAGCCACCGTCCGCTCCTGTGACACTGGCAGACGAAACCCAGTCGGCACCCCTCTCTCCACCTTCGACTGCGCAAGACACAACGAGCTTTTCTGACCACCGCCCCTCGCCGACCCCCGCATGGACAAGCTCAAAGTGGCTGCGAACGCGTGCATTCCAGCCTCCGAAGAAGCGGGTCGATGAAGACTGCAGCAAGGACGAGCTTGCTCTGTCATCGTTCAGCCTGGCCTCTCAGCACGCTCGCCCTCGCCCTCGCGCTCTTCAGAGACGTCCGGCTGAACGTGATGCAAGCTCGCCGCCAAGCTTTATCGCAGGACTCAGCGGACAGCCATCCACAGCGACCCGCTCTTTCCTCACCGCGCCACCTCATCCTACCGGACAGGATCTTAGTGCAATCCCTGAAGCTGACACTGGTCCAACAGAGTGTGGCGGACATTTCGAGACCGCACCGGGTGAGGCAGAGGGCCATGCGAACCCAGTCTCTGAGGCTCGAGAGAGCCAACTGCAAGGCGAGAGTCAGACACAGCTTTTCATTTGTGAGGGCATCCTAGCCAAACCCCGAATGTCTTGGGCATCTGTGGACGATGCGAAGCTTGTCCGGGAAGCACAATGCACAGCAGAACAATCGCTGGCGCCCATCGCATCCGAACATGTGCCTTCTATCATTCGGGAATCCGGACAGAACTCTGTACAAAGCAAGGCTATGAAGAAGACGAAGGGCAGATCGACCACATCTGCCGGCAACACGTCTCCTGCGATTGACAACCAACCCAGACGCAGGTCGAACAGGAGGCGAAGTGCACCGTCACAATCGCAGAAGGCTGCTGAGGAGATCGATGAGCTCCCTGCTGAGCAGCGACGTGGCATAACAGTCCAGCGCGTCGAGTACACGGAGACAGCTGGAGGAAAGAACTCGTCGCCCTTTGTGTTCCGGAAAAGAGCGACTCGATCTGCTAAGGCCGATATGACAGAACAAGAGGCGACACTCCTACCTTCGGAACATACACGTCTTCCATCAGTCACACCGAGACGGGCGATGCAATTTCCATCGGATGACAGTCAAGACGTGAACCAAGACCCCTATACACCTTTGGTCAACGAGCACCTGAACACTGTGCTGCCCAAGGACACCACCACCGCTCGCCGTTCTACACTCAGAAGCTCGCTCCGAAATGAGATGCAGGCTCTAGGTGCCGAAATCAGCAGGGCAGCAAACGATTCTTCTTCACAGTCGGAGCCAGGCTCGCAGCGGCACGAGCTACCGCCCGCGGACGTCGAGAATGAGGAAAATGTGCCTTCACAGCAGTACGACGCGCAAGCAGATGAAGGGCAGAACGATGAATCGTCGCATCCACTGCAGATTCCCATCGCCGAACTACCATCAGCGCTACCTGGCACGCAAGCAATGCTCGATCAGGCACATCACGATCTGTTCACCTCGCCGAACAAGACTAATTCAGATCTCTATCTTGGAGAAAATTCCACACCTGGGGCCTTGCCGAATGTTGGAAAGAGTGCACGAAGACCGCTCGGCGCACTATCGCAAGAGCGTATGCCAATACCGAGCACCCAAGCTCTCATCAATGAGTGGCATGGGTGGTCAAGCGTCAAAAAGCCAAGAGAGCCTGGCAAGCGGAGCAGTCTTGAAGCGTTTCAGTCCCCAACGGTGACAAAAGGGAAGGCCCGGGACTCTGCTAAAATCGCTTCCGACCCTTTCGAGTCACTTGGTAAAGATGCCAGACGTAGGAGCAGTCTGCGATTCTCGATGAGCTTTGCAGATTCTGCTGCCAAAGAGCCTGCGAAGAAGCCGTCTTCGCAGCCAGCGCCGTCGACGGTATTGGTTCCGGAAACCTCTGACAAGCACGAGTGCCTGGCGTTCACTGCTCCCAAGCCTAGTGGCAAGATCGCTTCTTCGGCCACCTTCTCATTCGCAGCTGAGATGTCCTCGATTCACCTACCCAGCGCGTCTTCAGCGCCGGCCCAGTCTTTCGCCGCAAGCACGAGGTCGCAACATTCCGTAGCCCACGGGATTGACTCTCTGAGCTTCGGACCACATGAGCATGAACCTCCTCCGTATTTGAATGCACCAGATGATCGTCCTCCAGACATCTCTCTGGCAAAACATGCAGGCACATCAAAACAGCATGTTCAGTCTAGCAAATCGGTCGTGAGTGACTGTCAAACTTCGTGCTACGATCAAAATATTGATGAAGACGAACACGATCTAAGCTTCGCTGCTCCACTTCCACAAGTACCCCATCCTGTCGTGCCAACTCAAGATGAGACACTCCTCGAGCAAGATGCCACGACCATCGATTCCGATGCACCGGCACCAAGCTACGTCCGAAACAACGCTCCAACACCCAGCTATATCCGAAACAACGCGCCCACGCCAAGTCACATCGGACGACAGAACTCAGCTGTGCTCTCAGCTCCGGCACCAAGCCCAAAGGACCTCGAGTATGATTCGCAGGAACTTGCTGGGGCGGTGAACGAGTTGACCAGAGATGTTTTGGGGAGTGTAAGTGAGCTTACGTTTTGAGGACAACGAGGGAAGGAAACTGGAGGGGAGGGATGATGAAATGGACTTCTGGTAGAGACACTGCTCGTTTATTCAGTCATTGGCAATCGAACACAGTCGTGTTGGGCTCGTGAGAACATGATCCATACCGCATGTGCATTAATTATCCAGGAGCCTGAACATTCACGCTAACGAACCTCAACCCTGATATCCCAGGACACATATGAAGATATGGTTGTGCAGAGTTCCTGGCCCCGAATGCATCCAAACAATACTTCCATTGTTGATCTTGTACAGCTCTCTCTTAGACTTCGAAGCTGAGGTTGGATATAGCATACTGATAGCAAGCCCGAATTGAACCCTACAACCCTCCTCATGTCCCATAACAATGCCATATGTCAAGTCCAGCTTACATGCAACATCGTAGTACATGCAGCATTATACCCGGATACTTTCAACAATCTCTCTCGGCACAATGGTGTATATATAAATAGTCGATAAGTCGTCGGTGCAAAACTGACGCTCGGTCATGCTCAAGTAGGTTCTTTACGCATACGAACGTAGATGTCGTAGGAGAGGATGACTTGGATTTGAACGAACTGTTGTGAGGCGAGGGCGACTGTCTTGCCTTGTGCTAAACTTTCATATGCTTGATGAGCAAATATCGCATTTCGGGTCTATGGTCTTCTATTATCGACATGTAACTAGTTAGGCTGAGGACATGTCTCGACCGAGGGTAGACGATAGATAGTGCGCACAATCAGAAGTACCATGATTTTCTCCGAGATTTCGAAGAGTTGTTCGTGACTGACTGCTTGTGGCCCTGATCGGGTGAGTCCAGTCTCCTCCTAGCACTCCACATATGGTAGCCCATTCGGGCCCACGTAGCTTTCATCGTTCCCAGCATCACGGGTTATTTATTGTGAGTGCGTCCATCGTATTTACCAAGCCTCACGCTCTATACATAGCTTGAATACGATTACCGACAACGCTATGTGAACGCGCTTTGAACAGAAATGGATGAAGACATCTATTGGCCTATTATAAAGCTTAATAGTCCGTGCCTGGGACGCTCTCCCTAGTCTGCTTGGGTAGCATTCCGGAGTGACATCCTCAGCACAAGTCACTTGGGCAGAAATTTCAGGGCCTGATGGTTTTACGTGAAAGGCTAATGAACAGTCTCTGAATTGGATGCCCCGGTAGCTCAAGGCAGATGGAAGGCTTCGTCCAAACTTGCCGCGCGAGAGTGGTACCATTGAAGCAATCGAGTCATTTTAGATACGATTGTCACGCGGTTCTCGACGACATTTGCAGCTTCCTAGTGCGGCAACCTTTGCCATCTTGCGTGATAGCCCTACCTAGCTGTGATGAGGCGCTACTTTCGTCGCGACTCGCTAGGATGTCGGTAAGCCGACAGGCTCAGCACGATGTCCTCTGCGCATATGGGATCAAGGTGTCCTGCATAATAATAATGTGACAGTAGCGGTGAGGCTCGAAGCATTCCCAGGCCTGGTCGTCTTTGAGCGGATCGGGTCCCGACTCTCGCTTGACCACGTTGCTGAGAGCTGATAACGGGCTACTCCTGTGATGAGTTCCCAGTCGTGACGAAACGAAGTCAGCGGTCATGAATTGGCACGAGCGCCTTCACCACTGAGTCACCAGGCCTGATACTTTTCTTCACAAACAGTCCCATCCTCACCGAACCTTCTTCGTGACATCGAGCCTTTCTCGTGACATCGAACCTTTTTCATGAGTTCGAACCCTTTTCATGAAGTCGAACCTTTCTCATGAGATCGAACCTTTCTCATGAAATCGAACCTTTCTCACGACATCGAACCTTTCTCACGACATCGAACCTTTCTCACGACACCGAACCTTTCTCACGACATCGAACCTTTCTCACGACATCGAACCTTTCTCACGACACCGAACCTTTCTCACGACATCGAACCTTTCTCACGACATCGAACCTTTCTCACGACATCAAACCTTCCTCTGACATCGAACCTTCTTCATGACATCAAACCTCCAAAAATCTCCTTCTTCACTTCAACATGAAATCCCAGCGCGACGGGAAACACGTGTCTTTCCCCAGTTGCAAGCACGGCGTTTGGATGGAGTATAGGCATCGCTGCCCAAATTCGCCAGGATATTCTACTCTCCGCGGGATACCTACCTCCCATCAGGCTTGTGGGCATGAAGAATCAAACTGCGACCGAGTGCACGTGATAGATTAGTAATTAGGGCTAGCTTCCGAACTTTCCGACCAGCCAATTACAAACACACCTAATAATTCTTCGCCTACAAGCCTGAGAACAAGCCGTGCTAAACTAGCCTGCGACGTACTACTTTTTCGCGACTACGTAAATACAACAATCTAAATAGCGGAGATTATAGCCCTACTAATTGCGCTTTATTCTATCTACTAAACAAGTCTATACGACGTTAGCGCGTTAAGTTTTCGCTATTCTACTAAGCCGACTCGACTATAGCTGTCCGGATTACTAGGCGGCTAGCTACACTGCTAGAAACACCTTAACATATAATATACCGCATCGCCTAGCTAATACTTAGAGGTCCTTCTCCTAACGCCGGTAATTATTGTTTAAGTAGGCGAAAATTCCGTCCGACGCCTACTAACTACTCTATAGCCTTCGAGGGCAATCGATAACCTTCCTATAGCCGACTCGATACTTCGAGGTCCTTCGTAGACTATTTCTAAACACCTTTTGTATACAGTATAAGTCTATCCGAGGTATACTTATTAAGTTGCTACTATATAGCAGACGCGACTCTAAAGCTAAGGTTAAAATACCTAAAAGTCGCTACTAGCACTACTACTATAGCTAGGAGACCGCTGCTACTACCGCTACTACTACAGCTAAGAGACCGCTGCTACTACAGCTGCTACTACAGCTAAGAGACCGCTACTACTATAGCTACTACTACCGCTACTAGCACCGCTACTACTATAGCTGCTAGTACCGCTACTACTATAGCTGCTACCGCTACTAATATATCGAGCGACGATCTATCCTCCTTAACCTCGGTTCTACTATCTAATAATAACCTAGTCGGTAGTACTGTCGCCTATAACTATAATAAGAATATAACCGGCCTAGACGACGATGCTACTTTACCTAGAGGACCTAAGGAACAGACTATTCTTATAGGCGCACAGACCGATCTACTAATCTATTTAAGCAGCGGCGGCATTCTCTCTAACCCTCTAGATCAATTAGTTAGACTAGCCGGGATGGATAAGATTAGTAACTTCTAGGATAAGGCATCCGTAGATAAAGACCTTAGTAAGGAGGATAAAGAGATGTCCGACGACGAGGAAGATCTCGAGCTTTGCGATAGTAACGAAGAAGATAGTAATAAAGATAGTAATAAAGCTAGCGAAGAAGATAGTAAAGAGGCAGACTAGCCTCTTACCGAAGAAGAGCGCCTTATAGCGGCCGCTCGCGGGAAGAGGAACCGCGATAAGCACTACAAAGAGATTAAGGAGCTTATAAATAAGTATAAGATTACTATGCCGTACCTTGTAAAGTTCCTAGTTAGCAAGCTAGGTAAGAAGGCCTAGCAGGACGTAACCTAGGATTAACTACGCGTCTTAACGAGGCGATCTAAGCGGTATAACAGAAACCTTAAGTCTCTCCTCGATGCCTTCCTAGAAGAACGCCTATTTAGCGCTCGTGTTATACGTGTAGAGCTTAAGACCCTTATCGGCAAGGATCTCTTTAGTACCTACTATCTAGAATTTAGCTATACCGAATTCGACCTTACCGATATAGACAGTATTATTTATTAGTATGCCCCGATATAGTATTAGCTTCTTAGCTAGGACCTTCTCCCTAATGTCCGAAAGAACACCGCCTAGTACTAGGAAACCTTCTAGGACAGGTACAATGTTATCCGGAAGCGCACTACGATAATTACATCGCAAATCCTTTTCTTAATAGCTTATATTAATGCCTCTTTCTTCCCGAAGGCCCTTAGCATCTTTCTCGTTAGTAATAGAGCAAGCCGGAGAGTTCTCGAGTGCCTAAATAGCCTTAGCCTTGTCCCCTCGTACCGCACTATACAGATCCTAATAGGTAAGAATATAGAAATCTAGATGCAGAAGATTAGCGAGTTAGCTAACGACCCGAAGAAGTAGAGTAGTAAGACTATCGATAATTTCAATCGCATATAGACCTATATAGTCTAGCGGAGTAGTAAAACTAACAAGATACTTAGTATTACAATATCGTACCTTGTAGAGAACAAGTACATTCTAGAGGGCGGGTTAAAGAAGGGCATAATCTACTACGACAAGCCTCTAGATCTAGACGATATCTTTAAGAACATATACGAGGATAAAGCCTATATACAGATCCTAAGGAACCTAGCCGATCCGACTACTAACGGCGAGACTACTAACGGCGGGCCTAAGACTATTAAGATTACGGAGATTAGCAAGAAGACTGCCTTGTTCTATATCGATAAGGCTATCGCATACACTTTCCCGAAAGCCGTTAAAGCTGTGTTTAAGAAGGAGGCGGTAGAGGCTAGTAACGACGATAACGATAGTAATGCCGTTAGTCGTCTAAAGTAGCTAGTTATCGATGAGATGCCGGCGACACAGACTAAGGTGCTTTCTATGCTACTATCCTTTAATAATGAGGCTACGATTGTAGGCATATATGCAGTCTAGGATAATATCCTTCTCAACTTTATAGACCTAGATCGAGATAAGGACTTCAAAAACGGACCTAATAGACCGCTAATTATCTGCAATAGCGACTAGATAACTGTTCTACGCGGCCTTTCTGTCCGTAATAAGAGTGTTAAGAGCGACGATGCGTACGACAAGCGAGACAATCTCTTGTTCTCTCCTGCCTAGTTCTATACTATAATAAACTGCAGCCTTATATTGCTGCGGACCTATTAGGACAATAACAGAGATAGGGAGCTATTGCTAGTATCCTAGACGTTAAAGGCTGATGCTGCCTTTTAGTATAGAGACAATAAGATTAGTAAGGACAAGGCTAAGTTCTTCGAGGTTTAGCAGCTATTAAAGACGAGCTTCCGATCTCGCATTGTCGGTCTCGTTATTTAGTAGCTCATCGATAAAGGCCGAGTCATTATCGCTAGCTAGGATAATCGCATAGAAATAGTAGAGGCCGCTATCTCTCGACTTACTCGCGATTAGTATATCTATCTTGTCGACAAGATATATAACGATACGTTGTCTCCGTCTGCCTAGCGCGGCTAACCTAGAACAGATCCGCAGTTTACGACAATGTCTCGAATGCTAAAGGAGATTGAGTAATTCCTTACGTTGCGTAAGTCTATCCGTAATATAGATATTAGCTATCTTCGTAAATTAGTCGACTTCCTAATCCTATTATTCTTTAGTGCTCGTTAGGGCAATTATAGCCGCCTAATAACCTACCTACGCTAGCTGCTCGGTCCTAGTGCTAATCTAGTAGTACAAAAGGCAATCCTAATATTAAGTATAATCTCTATAAACGGTAACAAGGGACATGCTGTCGCAGCTAATAAGTGTCTTAAGCTCTACAATTACGAGTACTCTAAGGACATCAACCGATACGCTAATTCGACCTATAATATATAGGCTACATTTAAGAAGGTAGCATTGAACCGGGAGCCATCTAGAGTCTTGCGCACTATAATAACTAATATAACTAGGATCAAGCTAAGCAGCTACTATACCTATAAGGACACCTCTATCGACGTATTTAGTAGAGCCGAGAAGCTGTACTCTAATAGATATACAAAGCTATACGGAAACCCTAGTAGCAACGTCTCTAATAACATCTAGCAGCTCGGAGGCATGCAGATCTTAGAAAAGGTAGCCGACTTCAACGAGGGCAATGCGCAGTATTATTAGGGTCGTAGTACCGTATCGATAGACGAGGAGATAGAGGCTGCTGCTATTGCTAGTCGTATAGCTACCGGTGATCTTAGTGCTATCGAAGACTCTACTGTTAATGCTAGCGACTCTATATAGGCTAATGCGGTCGATCGGCGTAATAGATAGCTAGGAGACGAGTAGGGAGACGAGTAGGGAGACGAGGCGCTACCGACTACCTATCTTAACGAGCTTGACTAAGAGGGTAACACATTTAGTATATAGAAATCCAACCTGCTATATCTATCGCTTAGCTACCGTTCCTTGCTATACTAATTGACATAGGCTGTTAGCTTCTAGTGCTACTATAGCTTTATCTTCTAGTGCTTTATTTTCTAGTACTAGGCGTACGATAATAGCTTGATAGCTAGCCAGGCTAGGCGTACGATAATTGCTTAATAGCTAGCTAGGCTAGGCGTACGATAATTGCTTAATAGCTAGCTACGAAGGGTTTAGCTAGGCGTACGATAATAGCTTAATAGCTAGCTAGGCTAGGCGTACGATAATTGCTTGATAGCTAGCTACGAAGGGTTTAGCTAGGCGTACGATAATAGCTTAATAGCTAGCTAGGCTAGGCGTACGATAATTGCTTAATAGCTAGCTACGAAGCTAGGCGTACAATGCCTCTAGTCGCTAGCAATTCTAGCCTTAGGCATTCGACTAGCAGTCGGCGGCTATTGCGTTAAAAGTGCGATAATATATAGCCGTTATTATTGCCTTGCTATTATAGCTAAATAGCGCAATCCTATTAGTAGAGGCAAACCTTACCTGCGATGCGCTAATATAGACCTACGCTTCCTAGTTCAACTTCTTCGTCTTCTTCTTCTTCTATATATACTAACACACTAACACCCCTAGTAACATACTAGCTATCGGCTTCTAATAGTAATAGTGTCGATACCTCTTTATCGTATGTAGGTAGCTCTATAGCGATTAACACTATTCCTTGCTAGTTCTACGACTTGCTACCGATAGAGCCGCTTATCTAATAGTTAAGGTTCCTCGATCGGTAGAGTTTGTTTAGTCCTTCTTTTAAGGTCTCCGATAGGCTTTATCGACGCAAGACGTTGCGAAGGCGACTCTCCTAGCGAGTAGGTATACTATAGCTTTAGCGGGCGTCGACTACGCATTCAACCGAAAGAGCATAGTTTTTATTAGAACATCGCAGAGGTCTTAGATAGATTAGCGGAGGTAAAAACTCTTTAGTAAGGTACACCTATAATACGGCTAACGGTCTAACTCGGTAAAAACTCTTTAGTAAGGTACACCTTAAGTAGCGGCTCGATAGCGACTCTCCTACTAAGTAGGTTAGTTCGTAGCATTGCTATAGGCCTAACTCGGTAAAAACTCTTTAGTAAGGTACACCTTAAGTAGCGGCTACAGGCTTCCTACGTTCGGATTCTTTATAGGATAATAGCTCTCGAGAACGTATCTAGTTAAGTCGGCGTAACGCCTTCGTTAGGACTGTTAGTTATAATAACCTTAGTCGTTGCGTAAGGGCCTCTAGTGTACTTAAGCCCGAAGGCGCTTAGTCTTAGTCTTTACTACTGCTATACGACTGCAGCCCTTTGCGTATTAAGACTGCTATTCGACTATAGTGCGCCTCCCCTTCTAGTAAGCGCATTAAGACTATTATCCGACTATAGTGCGCCTTCTCTTCTAGCAAGCGCATTAATATTGCTATACGACTGCAACGCGCTCGACAACCTTTTTTTTCGCGGTATCTCTAATACTAAGGGCGCGGTTACACTCTATTATTGTCTAGGTACTAATAAGTGTCGCTTTAGCGATCGCTGTCGTGTTTCGCTTAATAAGTCCCTTCCTACATACCTCGCGTACTGTGGTTAGTAATAGAATGCGTTAATTGTTACGCATTGCGCGTAGCATATAGGCTATATATAATACTAGTATACTTCGGAGTGTATGCTTCTGCAGCCGCTTAGTGCCGCTAGTTAATTAGATCCCCGGACGCTACTATTCGTTTTCTCTACCTTATATAGTAACTAGTTATCGGAATAATCGTTCTAGGGAGAGTCTAAGTAATAGAGGGCGTTGACGTAAGAGGGCTATCGTAGCTTCTCGAAGGGTGCTTTTACGAGCGCTCGATGTATGTTATCGCCCTATATATCTATCCTTGCCGTATATATTATAGTGCTAATAGCTGCGGTGCAATAAGTATAGTACTAGTCTCGCTAGTCTCGCTAGTCTCGCTAGTCTCGCTAGTCTCGCTAGTCTCGCTAGTCTCGCTAGTCTCGCTAGTCTCGCTAGTAACTTCTCGCTAGTGTTAGTGCCTAAGGCGGCCGTCGTTATCGTATTAGACACTTTTGTTAGCGCCATTTGCTAGAAACGCGCTAAATCGACGTATCTCGCTATATTAGTAATGCTATTATGAAAGTCGTAAAGTCGGTATTGTAAATGCGCGGAAGGAAGTAGCTATAACGTTTAATCCTACTAATTAAGCGCTCTGCTATACTAAATCCGGGGTCTTAGCGGGACTCGGCATCCTTGTCGCTTCCTCGAATTTACGCTTCTCGCCTAGCTCTTATATACTATCGATACCTACGACTATCTATACCTACGACTATCTACAAACCCTTATCGCAAAGATTACGATAGAAAAGCCTACTTAGCGAGCCTATAAGGACATAATAGAAGAGCCTGCTTAGCGAGCCTATAAGGATATAATAGAAGAGCCTGCTTAGCGAGCCTATAAGGACATAATAGAAGAACCTACTTAGCGAGCTTACAAGGATATAATAGAAGGGTAGTGAGGAAGGACCTTATTAAATGCCAATTCTAGCGCCAATTCTAGCGCCAGCTCTCGCAGAAGCAGCTAAACTAGGCACTACACGCTAGCACTCGTAGAAGTAGCTTAACTAGCTCTCGTAGAAGCAGCTTAACTAGCACTCGCAGAAGCAACTTAACTAGGCATCCTACATTATACGCCGGCTCTCGCAGAAGTAGCTTAACTAGCTCTCGTAGAAGCAGCTCAACTAGCACTCGTAGAAGCAACTCAACTAGGCATCCTATATTATACGCCGGCTCTCGTAGGAGCAGCTTAACTAGGCATCCTACATTATACGCCGGCTCTCGCAGAAGCAGCTAAACTAGGTATTACACGCCTGCTCTCGCAGAAGTAGCTAAACTAGGCATTATACGCCTGCTCTCGCAGAAGCAGCTAAACTAGGCATTATACGCCTGCTCTCGTAGAAGCAGCTAAACTAGGCCTGCTCTCGCAGAAGCAACGCGATCGAGCGTAGTATTACGGCTTACTTTTCCGGGGATAGGACAAGGACTTAGCGAGCTTACAAGGACATAATAGAAGGGTAGCTATAACGGATGTTGTTAATGCCATTTCTAGCGCCATTTCTACTACCTATTCTACTGCCATTTCTAGCGCTATTCTACTGCTATTTCTAGCGCTATTCTACTACCATTTCTAGCGCTAATTTACCGCCAATTCTAGTGCTAATTCTAGTGCTATTTCTAGCGCCATTTCTAGCGCTATTTCTAGTACTATTTCTAGCGCTATTTCTAGTGCCAATTCTAGCGCTAATTCTAGCGCCAATTCTAGCGCTAGCTCTCGTAGAAGCAGCTAAACTAGGTAGGGTTAGCGGCGACGGCTTAGTAATCCTGTCGGCGAGCTACCTAGTAACTAGCCTATAAGACGGAGACTAGCTTCTAATAGCGTACGGTTCCTACGTAGCTTACGGCTACCTCTCTCCTTAGTAGTGCGAGTAACTGTACTTAATAACTGCTTAGCTCTCTTAGCTCGCTCCGATTTAACTTAATCAATCCGGCGCGCTCTATGTCGAGGTACCTAGCTTATTACTAGGCTTACAGAGGCAGGACGCTTATTACGCGGATTATCCGGACTACGAGCGATAGCAGTACCTATAGCAACAGCCGAAGCGGATAGAAAGGCAGAGGCTAGATTGCCTAGAAGCACTATATTAAGCGTAACTATCCGACTAGGTAGCTTAGGGCTAGTACTAGGACTAGAAGCAGTAGCAGCGGCAGTCGCTCTCTCGATCTGATTCGTACGAAGACCTATCCTAGCTGCCTCGCTACGGGAGGACTCTATAATACCGGCCTAGACGGCATTTCGCGCGGCGTTCTATACGGCAAGGCGCTATACTAGAGACACTGTCGAAGTATTTAGTAATACGGGTCGGCCGGCCGTAGATTAAGAACTAGAAGCGAGTCTAGCAGTAGTAGTAGTAGCAGTAGCTTTCTTCTCTTCCTCTACTACGCGTTACTTGTCTGCGCGCTTCTTAGCTTTCGTATTAAGACTAGCCTTCCACTTAGTAAAGACACTTATACCGATTCGCTTAATCTTATTAATTAGCTCGTATAACGCAAATAGGCGCTAGTCGATGTCCTAAGCTTTAAACTAGTCGATAAAATCGACCGACTTCTACTTAAACAGCCGCTAATTAACGATAATATCCTCCTATTACTCGAGCTAGCTCGTAGTAGTAAATATATTATAGATACTCTATAGCCTACGGTCTTCTAGTATAGTCTTTAACGGCAGGTCGAATATATAGCGATAAGTCTATTCTAGGTACTTGTTGTTCTTAGAAGACAACTAGGCCTATAGCTTCTAGAAGGCAATAGCCGGACGTGTCCCATTTCCTAGCTTACGGAAGATTAGACCTATAGCTTCTACCGGTAGCCTACTATTGTAAAAGAGATCGAGGGCAGGGTTATAGGCATTATAGCAGTGCTCGCTCGGTAGTAGGTCTTATAGATATATTACCTTATCCTCGCTAAGGTACTAGAGGATTACCTTGCGAGGGTAGATACTATAGTCTCGATATCGATCGTTCTAGAAATGTATCTAGATCTTTGGAATCTTCTCGCGGGCAGCTATCTCTGCCTTAGTCTAATACTTCGGATCCGTGCTAGTATCTGTATCTGTATCTACATCTGTATCGCTAGTAGCACTCGCATCGCCGTAGTCTCCCTTAGCATCCTCTCCGGGAATTTGTAACTACGATAGGCTTAAGGAACGGCCTAGCGTATAGCGATACTAGTATAATCTTCAAACTCTTATCGCTAAATAATAAGAATTAGGACGAGGCTGCTTCTTACTGTCATTAATTAGGTATAGCAAGAAGACTAAGGCTATACTCCGCTTGCCCTGCTATAGAAGGGCACGACTAATACGACTAAGTCGCTATATTAAATCTTTAATGTCTCGAGTTATCGGATACTTAATCTAGGCGACAATCTCGATATCTAGGATGTTTAGACCGACACTAAACGCAGTCGTAGCGATTATAATGCGAATGTTCGATAGGCTATCGGGGCCCTCTATAGTACGACTATATTGCTTGTATCGACGAGTCTAGTCGCGCTTAGCTACGCTACTAGTATAGAACGAGACGGTAGTATAAACATTTATACTAGTATTGCTCTATGTATATCGCTTTTTTGGATCGCTATAGGTAGATGTTGTAGCAACTAGCTATATTCGAATGACACTAGCTAGCTCTTATACGGACTTCCGACTATTAATGAATAGTAGAGCCTTCTTAATGCCTTAAGGTATAGCTTCCTTACTTTCTAGATCGAAGGCTCTATCGATTACGAAGTATAGGTAGTTATACCCTCTAAGCTAGTCTTTATCGATAGTCCGTAAGATGTATATAGTATCTAGTCGATTAATACTACTGCAGAGAACCTTAGTCTTATACGGTTTATTTCTAAGAGGTCGGAAGCTACCGTTCTTAGCTATAAAGTCCTCTGTTTCCTTAGATACTAGCGATAGTTAGCTCGGTTTAGTTTAGCTTAGCTCGATCTACTTACTAGTAGCAGAATAGCCTAACTATACCGTGTCGGTACGTAGCAGCTTCCGCAGCGAGAAGATCTAGGCATATTCCTTACGAAACTCCTTCTACTTCGCTACTAGGTACATCTCGTCGATTACAACTAAACTAATCCGAGCCCGGGCCTTTAGGTCTCGAATAATAGCTCGGAAATCCTCGCTAGCTACAGTTTCTAGACTAAGGATAATATAGTAGACCTTGCTATCTATAATCTTCTAAAATAGGTTACGATCTATACTCTTATTCTCTACGGTAATATTAACTATATTAATTAGATAGTTAGCTTGTCGGGCAGTCTCGCGCACATCCTCTATATACTCCTTACTAAGACGATTTAATAGAGTAATTTTAATAACTACTATACCTATCAATAGGCTAAAGGCCTAAAAAGGCAAACTCTTGCCTTCGCTAGTCTTAGCTACTATTATTACATTAGAGTAGGCAAATACGAGAGCCTAGACACTATAGATCTAGGATTCCTTTAGCATAAAGCCCTTACCTAGATACATCTTATCGAGAATCTTTCGTAGTCCTTAGGTAATAATATCGCGATGTACGTTAATAGCTTCTAGGATACGCATCGCATCGTAGACTAACTACTATACTTGCTCGAGTAATATATTAGTATTAAAGATCTTGTCGCAGCGCTACTAGAACTAGGCTTTATAGTTACTCTTTCTAGCTAGCTACTCGACTAGTAGTAGATAGCTAAAGTCTAGCGACTCTCGACTAATAGTAGTACGACCTAGTAGTTTAGGTCCGATAGGCTAGTCGCCTTTCTTCTTCTTCTAAGATCCGGTCTTAGCTGCCTTATCTTTCTTTGCCTAGGCGCGGCGCTACTTCTCGCTACTACCTAATTTTAGTAGTATTGTTATCGGTAGTAGATACGGCGGCGGCGGCGGCGGCGGCGGCGGCGATAGTAGGATCGACCTTTAAATATACGCGAGGCGGCTAGATATGTATGCGTATACGCGTAAGTACTAGAGAGGTCGATATAATAGCGCGTTAGTATTAAAGGTAGACGGTGCCTTATTAGCCCTAGATAGCAATATTAAGACAAGGGCGGTAGTTTTAAGGCATTCTAAAGCGCGGAGATTAGAGAGGTAGTTAATGCGACGGGCCGTACGTGCTTCGCTTAGCGTTGTATATGCTGTTTGTAGGTAAGTAATATATAGTAGGTAGATACAAATAGAGTGTTCGGGCAAGTCGTCTTAGAAGACTAAAAATTAATCTCTTAATTAACGTTTTCGCGACTACTTTGTATAGACAATCTAAGAGATCATTTTATAACGTATAACTATACTACTAACAACTTTTCACTATTTTGCGTAGTTGTTAGGCTGTATAGATTTGTAACTACTTTCGTATTCGGGGACTTATATAGAGGAGGAACGGTTTGACTTTAGGCGCTCCGCTGTAGCTTTCTCTATACCTAATGTAGTTAGTGTCGATGCCTAAGGATACAGAATCACGTAGAAGAATCTATAACACTCGGAGCGCCTGAGAGGAGGTAGCGGGATACCACGGAAGTCGCCGTCAATCTCGAAGCTGGTCCTAGCAGACCGGATAGACACTGTCTTGAACTTCACCCAACTCGCATTAATATTCTCACCGAGACACTTTGTATTGTCTGCCTGCCCCTGATGCACATGTCCAGTTGGGCCGGGCCCGGCCAGGCCAGGCTTGAGCGTCAACCGCGGGAGCAGGAAATGCGTTCCAGAGAGGTGGTCGCGTCAGCCAGGACAAAATTTCCCAAGTGCCCAAAGCACTCATGGGCAGGCTTCATCATTCATGTCATTCAGCACCAAAGGACGAGTCGTTCGCAGCTAGTTGCTGGGAAAGAGACGCAGGTCCCATGCTGTACATAGCAAACCGCATGCCAAGGCCCAAACGTGCATGATGAAAGTTCCCGGAAGCTGGAAATCTTTCTCCGAAACAGAGGATGCAGAGGACGGACTTCACCAAAGAGCATTGACATCATGCACCACGGACACTACATCTCGCCAGCGAAGCGAGCATATCAGATTTGTGATCGTTCACGTCCGGCTTGCTCTGCCGCCTTGCCGGCACACACCGCGCACATCGCTAACCTGCAGGTTCATGAAGCTAGCATTGGTGATTCGCCGGAGCTCCCCAAAGTGGCTTGAGGCCCGTATGTTTGAGGACAACCGATGGGCTTCCCAAGACATGCCAGCATCCTTCTTTTGGCTGTCGCCGGCTCGACGACCCGGTGGTCGTTTGCACGTGCAAGCAGCCACGGCGTGGTCTTCCTTATTACAGACTTGCAGTAGAGCGCACGAGAGGCTTGGGCATTCCAATAAAGAGAACACGAATCGCGCTATATGAGCAAGACCAGCTAGAATTGCTGTGAAAGATATTGTAGTGACATACATTGGCTTACGATCGTAGAGAAGTCATCATACATTTATAATAGTAGAAGAGGTGAAGGAATTCCACAACAGGTCTCACCCGCCGCAGTTTCGCGCGTTTGGAGCTGTCGCACAAGTGAGTTGTCAGGTCCACGCCATCGGTACACTGGAATGCTGCGCGCGCACCACTTGAGGCACGAGACGACACTGAGAGCCACGGAATGTTGCAATACAGAAGGATAATTTCAGCGACAGGTCAGGTCTCATGAGCCCGGCACCGACAGACACAACCGTGGATGGGGGTGTAGGGCAAAGACCTTCCATGCATCTGTGTTTAAATTCTGTTTGGGTGAAAATCAGCGATAGGTATGTAGCATGTGGAATGTTTTCCCCATGTTCTGGAATGTGGCGAACACGAGGAAAGCGGTAGAATACGGTTCGTTGGTATCGATCATGTGCATACACACTGGTATGAATAGTTTGCCACCCTTCTGTCGTCCGTCACCCTGCACCACGGCAGCACTTGACGTACACTGAGGTCGATTGATCTCGTAAGCGCCACGTGCAGATATTCAGACTGCTGCCAGTGCGGCCTCCCGTCTAGCGTACATTAATGTTCTAATGTTGAACAAGAAGCTCGAAATGGCATCATCAAGAGTGAAAACATAAGTGTCGTCAGAAATGTCGCGATGGGACTGAAATCTGGATCGTCAGGTGTGTTCAGGCTCCGCCAACGGTGACTCCAGGAGAGTGTTGGAGGGTGGCCCCATAAGCAGCCAGCCTGTCTGCCACAGCTCGTAGAATTTCGGGGTCGTGTCGTATTGGAGCGCGCTTGGGACTGTAGGAGTCATGATTAGTGTAGGTCTTCGAAAGCAAGACGGAAGCCATCAACTCACGGTTCTCGGTGGCAATTGGTGCAGCGCTCATGCCCACAGCCCAGACACCGACTTCTTTCAACGAACAATGAATCGCAGTGCTCGCAGGTATAGCGTACTCGTTGTCGAGGCTTCCGATGTACTCGCTGCACAGCTTTGACCATGGGTACTTCTTCGTCCACACATTGCTCCTCCCCATGCTGAGCGCTCTTGCCGTGCCTCCGCGATTTCTGGGGCAGGCGCGGGCATTGACTGCACTTCAGATGACCGCAACTCTGACATTCATTCCGCGTCGCTGGTTGTATGTCATGCTCACACTTGTGACATATTCTTCGTCCCAGTTGAGCTCTCGGTTTGATCACCGTCTGGATTCCCGCACGCGGTCTTGCGTACATGACGAAATCAAAGTCTCGGATGTCGGCGTCGCCATCTGCATCGCCACCGTCATCTAGCTCCAGCGGAGCAGCCAGCTGTACGGGCGATCTGGTCTCCGGTGATGGCGTCTCTGGCGGGGCTGGTACAGCATGCGCTTCAGCATCCTGCTCCGGGCTGACAAGCTCTCTCCTTTGCCTGGACTCCTGCTCGAATGCCAGTCTCGTGCTGTCTACCAGTTCCCGCACCTTCTTCGGTGGATGTCGCGAACACTCTGAACACCTATGGTGACCGCACTCAACACATATCCGTTCCATCCCAAACTGTTTGCTGCATTGGTGACAAGTCCAATGCACCCTCAATCTGATCGGCTTCTCCACACGCCGTATCTTCATCGGTGGATCCTGCATGGGTCGTTTGCTGCGAGCGTCGTATTGCAGGCCGTGCTGGGCAAATAGTTCTCGCGCCTTTTCCGTTGTCAGGCGTCTCCTCCCAGACGGCAATGGCAACGGAAGGAGAGGCTCGTCTGAATCGCCTTCGTCCGAAGCATCCACCTCAATCGTGTCGTCTAGGGCAATCGTGGCAGGCTTCAGTTCTGTGGCTCCGGTTCCGGTCGTCGCAGGCGGAAGTATGGCATCATCGTTTGTGGTTTCGTCAAGGAGCGAGGGAGCACGAGAGGCACTGGTCGTTTCCATTGCTTGCACTGCAGTCTCCTGTATGGTTGAATGTCTAGGATTGGGAGACTGCTCGCTCCGCACGCTGCTGCTCCGTCGCTTCATAGCAGCCCTGACCTTATCGAAGGCGCGTGCGAGACTCCCTCGTCTCCGTCCCCTGTCGTTGGTATTCGGCCGGGTTATGTGCTCGGCCATGATAGTGTTGGTGTAAGAAGTGGGGTGTCAACAATGTGGGAGAGGCTCACCAGGGCAAGAGCAAGACGCGGGCGTCGACGTGCTTCGGCCGGTGGTTGCTATTCGGGTTGTGGAGCTGGCGATGTTGAAGGGATGCTCTCCGGCTGCTGGAACGCATTCGAGCAAGATCGGCTTCCGTTAATGGGCCATCTCACACTTCCGTCGGCGTGCAGAGAGCCAGCTGCGGGCGACGAGCTGGTCGACAGGCGAGAAGACGGGCAGCTCGCACAGTTGGCAGCAGATGAATGATATCAGGTAGGGGCAGTCGGGTTGGGGCGCAGACTCGGCAGACGGACTGGTTGGCGGCGTGCCGACCTTTTCACCTCAGCGGCTCACTGACAGGCTTGAGCGGCTTGCTTGTTGCATCCACGTCCAGCGTGCAGCGTGCAGGCTGCAGCGCAGCGTCCACGTTGACGGTTTGGCTTTGACTGCGCGTGTGAGATTGCACTCGGCTGCGCAGATTCGTGGGAGCCGGCAGCCAGCGAACCTTTGCTGAGACCCGCTCACTCGGGACGCCAACGCCCAAGCCAAAGGCCCAAAGCCAACTGGGTGCTGCAAGGAGCTCAGGCCACAACTTGGAAGTCTGCTCTGCTCTGCGACCCAAACAAGGCGGCAAGCCCCGGCCCCCGAGGATCACCTTGAGCACCTTTCGTCCACTTTTCATGCACGCCCGCCATCGAGCACCGCGTCGATGTCGCCGGCGCTGTCGCCCACTGACCTGCGCCTCCGCCTGCCCACACCACCGTCCCCGACCGCCGCCTCCCCGGTCCCATTTCGTGCCTTCATCCCCGTCGACCTCATTACTGGTAGCGCGACGACGCGACCTGCTTGCTTGTTCATCCCCGCAACAATTGCCTCTGGAGTCTGCCCGACACCTTGCGAGGGTATTCTCAAATACAACCTCAGGCGCATGGGCTGCCGACAAGAGATAACCCATGTCACCACCGCGCACTGGAACGGAACATCATAAGAACCGCCACTTGCTACTCGTGGGAATCCGAAAGCATCTGGTCCCTGCTGCTTGGGACCATCGATTGAATCGCTGACTCTACCGACCCCCAGGTATTTCTCCATGCCCGCGCCTTTCAAGTCTGTGGAGAGCAGGCATCTTCACTGAAGAGATCGAGTCATGTTACCGTTTCTCCGTCGCCTGATATTGCTCGACTCCCCACATGTACTGGTAAATAAGACCTGATGCTTCAAGAAGCACTGCCACCATCTACCCGGAACATGGAGTCTCACATCACACTTTATTGCAAAGAATACCAGGCCGCATTACATTGTACCTTCATTGGTTGACACTGCCGCCCTCTTCGATTCGCGCAGATCATCATAGATGAGTGTCCGATCTGCCTGATGAGCACGACCGACTTTCAATCCCGGTCGCCGACAAGTGCGAGCAGATCAACCTAGAAAGCAAAGTCGAGGTAGCTCCAGCACACCCTGTGGGTTCCGTACCACCCTACAGAGTGCCCTCAAACCACCGAAACCAGTGCACAAATCGGGGTGTTGCGAACACCCCCTATGCAACCTAATTACCTCGGATTTCTACCGTTCCGAACAGCCGCAATCGCTCGAAAACAACTAAGTTTACGCCTATACCTTAGTACTACTGCTTCTACTACTTAGAAGCGATACGCTCCCCTTAGATCCGTCGTTCTAGTAGTCTAATTAGTATAGGAGATAGCGTACGAGAGGATTAATCTATCTAGTATAGTTGAGGTAGTATACCTATATATAACCTTCTATAAGCGCGTTTTAAAGGTATTATAGGCTTACTAGTTAGAGGCTTCTAACGACGAAATTTATAAGAGCTACCTAGTAGCTATAGTAGATTAATTAAAGTATCTTTACTAGGTAATAATATAGGTAATAGGTATAGAGCTATAGATAGTACTATAGAAGGTAGCTCTACTATAGAAGGTAGCTTTACTATAGAAAGTAACTCTACTATAGAAGGTAGCTCTACTATAGAAGATAGGAGTAGTAGATTATAAGGTAGAAATAGCTTACTTAGTAAGGGCAAATCGTCTAGTAAGAACGAAACTAACGGCCGTTAATGCCTTACTACCTCGTCGTTATCGTACTAATTACTTTTACTAGCGTCCTTTAGTAAAGATAGCGGCAATTAACTAATTAGCGTTAGTTATATAACTTAGAAAGTCTATATCTAGGAGACTATTAAATAGGTCCTCTTTAACCTTATATAGTACGTTTTCTTTACTATCTTCGACCTAAGTAGACTAGTAGTAGGGCCGATCTTATTAGGTAGACCGTAGACTAGTAAAGAATAGCCTTTAATAATAATACGAGGCCTATATATATCTAGAAGGTTAGTTTTAGTTTTAGTTAGAGCAACTAGTAGAGGCAGAGTTAGTAATACGGCTATATAGAAGACTAGTTACTATAACGGCCTATTATTAATACCTCGCTACTTATAAGTACGATAAGGTATTAATTTAGCCTCTTTAGCGCTATATTTAATATATAGCGCCTATAGATCCGAATTATACGATACTCGAGGCTAAGTCGTCGATATAGTTACCTATAGCTATTATTCGATAGGGAGTTTAGCCGGTTCTTATTATACTATACGTTTAATATAAAATAGCGGTATTCGTCGTATTCGAAGCCTTCTATTCGAATAGCCTTACTACTACTAGTAGGGTAGAAGAGTAGCCGCCTTTAATCGTATAGATTTAGTAGAAACGAGCTCTTAAACTACAATAATAATAATACGCTTAGTACGAGATTATTACAGTTTACGGGTTATACGTACTAGCCGCTTAATTTCTAGCTTATTAAGTAATAACTCTATATCCTTAGGCAATAGGTATTTAGCTTATAAAGACTTATATATAATAAAGAGTACAGAATTTAGCGATAGTAAGGTCGAAATAAGCGCGATACGTAACTACGAGAAAGAGATAGAATAGGTCGATAAATAAGAGGTAGAAATAGCCTCTAAACAATGTCTAGTTTAGCTTTATTATAACTCCTTATTTATAAATATATACTATATAATTATAAGGCTTTAAATTAGCTTAAAACTAGAGCTCTTAGCGGTCTATATATAGCCTATAAATAACTATAGAAGTAGTTAAGCGGCCTTATAAACCTAGCCGCTATAGCGGCGCGATCGGTACCCTATTTAGGTTAATATACTTATATCTACTACCGACTACCTACGCTTATTTCTCTAGAAACCTTATCTTTACCGACTACTTAAGGATATACTAACTAATTTTACGCTTATAGCCCTCCGGATACCTCTATCTTCGCTAACTCTTTAGATAACTAAAGGGAGTTTAGTAGAAATTAAAGTACTAGATACCTAAGGCCTAAATCTTAACTTTATAATACTAACGCCTATAAGTATACTACGAATATACCGGTAACGAGAATAATACTAGTACGTAGTTATAACTAGTCGATATTAGCTTGCCGGTAGAATAGTATCTAATCTCCGAAGAAAAGCCTACTAAATATCTAAAATAGAGATACGCAGTAGTTTCGGTTAGTCGATTCTTAACTACTATTACTAGTATATAACTTAGTTGAGTATAGTATATTAACGCAAGAAGGAAAAGAAGAAAATAGTAGCGAACAATTAGAGACAAAGGGAAGATAGTTAAGAAGGAAGGGAGGACGAATAGAAAGCACTATATACTAGGGTAGAGGAGGTGCTAAAGGCGGAAGATAGAAGAACCCCTAAGAGGGTATACAGAATAATAATCTCAGAACTCCTTAGAGGACTGAAAGCAATCTATAACTAGGCAAGCTACGTAATTACAAAGGTAGCTAATACAGTCGTAGCAAAGATTACGAAGAAACAATAGGAGATAAGCCTAAACCACCGTACCTAGGCAGTAGTAGCTAGTTAGGAGGCGCTAAAACCCCCGAGGACAGTAGTTAGAGTCTATATTACGGACCTATAGGAGCAAAAGGAAATCTAAGGACTTATAGGGAAAGAGATTATAGAAAGAATTATAGTTAAAGAGGTAATTAGGGCTAGGAACGAAGGTAAAGGGGTAATTAAGCTATTTATAGTACAAGAGTAGGACAAAAAGAAGCTAGAAATACAAAAAGAATAGACAACTAAGATAGGGAAAACAGCAAAGGTCTCCTAATAGCAATTTATAATTATAGCCTATAGTATAATAAGAAGCTTTAAGGAAGAATAGGATATTAAGAGCCTATAGAGACAAAACTAAGCTATATACCTAGGCCTAAAGATTACAAAAGTAGTATAGATTAAAAGGAAAATCGAAGAGACTAAGAAGCAGTCTTCCCTAATTATCTAGGTAGGGAGTATAGAGT